TTCCTCCATACTCTCTGTACTGTTTGGATGTTTACCACTAAGCATGAAACACTTTTATAATTCTGTTTTTTTTAAAAGAGAGATTTACATTTTTTAGGAAAAAGGAAAATCTCAAAGTGCAACATGCTAGTTTTTTTTTGTTTTATCCTCACCCAAAGACATTTTTTCATTTTTTGTTCAGATAGAGTGGGAGGGAGAGAGAGAAACATCGACGTGAAAGGGACACATCGAGTGCCACCCGCACGACCCAACCAGGGCCGGGGACAAACTGCAACCGAGGTACGTGCCCTTAGCGGGAACCGAACCCGGGTCTCTCTGGACCGCAGGCCAACGCTCTAACCGCTGAGCCCAACCAGCCAGGGTGTGACATGCTAGTTTTTATATCTTATTTAATATATGATTAAAGAGGAATCACAAATTAATGGGGCCGAGATGATTCACTATATTATGCTGGGGCAACTGTTAACTTTTTTTGTATCCTTACCTGAGGATATTTTTCCATTGATTTTTTTCAAATAGAGTGGGAGGGAAGAAGGGAGAGAGAGACAGAGAGAAACATCAATGTGAGAGAGACACATCAATTGGTTGCCTCCTGGACAACCCTGACCGGGGCCAGGATTGAACCTCCAACCCAGGTACATGCCCTTGACCAGAAATCAAACCCGTGACTCTTGGGTTCACAGGCCAATGCTCTAACCACTGAACCAAACCAGCCAGGGCAACCGTTAACTTTTTTAAAGGAAAAGAATAGAAACGTAAGTCCTCTCTTAACACTATGAACCAAATAAACTTGAAGTGGATCAAGTATTTCAATTTTGAATTTTAAATATTAAAAATAGCCCTGGCCTGTTTGCTCAGTGGTTAGAGCGTTGGCCTGTGGTCCGGAAAGATCCGGGTTCAGTTGTCACTAAGGGCATGTACCTCGGTTGCAGTTTGTCCCCGGCCCTGGTTGGGTCGTGCGGGTGGCAGCCACTCAATGTGTCCCTTTCATGTCGATGTTTCTCTCTCTCCCTCTATCTCCCTCCCACTCCACCTGAACAAAAAATGGAAAAATGTCCTTCGGTGAGGATAAATAAAATAATATGAAGAGCCCAGCCGGTGCGACTCAGTGGTTGAGCCTCAACCCATGCACCAAGAGGTCACCAGTTCGATTCCTGGTCAGGGCATATGCCTAGGTTGTAGGCCAAATACCTAGTGGGGGGCATGCAGGAGGCGGCCAATCAATGTTCTTTCTCATCGATGTTTCCATCTCTTTCTCCCTCTCCCTTCTTCTTTTTTTTTTTTAATCCTCACCTGAGGACATTTTTCCATTTTTTGTACAGATAGAGTGGGAGGGAGAGAGAGGAAGGGAGAGAGAGAGATAAACATCGATGTGAAGGGACACATCGAGTGGCTGCCACCCGCACGACCAACCAGGGCCGGGGACAAACTGCAACCGAAGTACGTGCCCTTAGCGAGAACAGAACCCGGGTCTCTCCGGACCGCAGGCTGACGCTCTAACCGCTGAGCCAAACTGGCCAGGGCTCCCTCTCCCTTCTTCTCTCTCTAAAATCAATAAAGAAAAAAAAAAAAGTGAAGATACAGTAGAATGTTTTTCTGATCTCTGGATGGGGAAACAATGATAAAGAAATCATCTGTAACCCTGGCTGGTTTGGCTCAGCTATTAGAGTGTCGGCCTGCAGATCCAAGAATCGTGTGTTCAATTCCCAGTCAAGGGCATGTACCTGGATTGCAGGTTCAATCCCTGGCCCCAGTTGGGGTCCTGCAGTAGGCAACCAATCGATGCCCCCCACCCCCTTCCACTCTACTTTAAAATTAATGGAAAAATATCCTTGGATGAGGATTTTTAAAAAATCATTTGTAAAGAAAAAAGACACTACAAAGAAAAATATCAACAGAGGATAGAAACATGTTACATTTCTGTACATCAAAAATTAAATGAAAAGGCAAACAACAAAGAAAGATCTACAACAAATATGAAAATGGGTAATTTTCCTCACTCATGTAGATCAATTTAAAAATGAAAGATCCTAATAGTTAAATGGATAAAGGCCATAAGGAAATAACTTATGAAAAAGGAAATATGAATGTGTGATAAATATGTGAAAAAATGGTTAACATCACTAATATTCAAAGACATGATAATTAAGACAATAATGAGGCCACTAAAAAATCTTTGCTTATTTGATAGACACTTGCTCAATGTCCACAGGAGACAGGAGACTGGCCCTCAGTACTGTTGGCAAGACTGCACACTGGTATCACTTTTGGGGAAGGCAATTTGGCAAAAAAAAAAAATAATAATAATAAATAAATAAATCAAAGGCTCTGTGTATGTGTATGTGTGTGTGTGTCCTTTACTCCCACAACTCCAATTTCCTTAATTAACTCTTCTAGCACCTGAAAAATAAGGATCAGAAAAGAGTTGGTTAAATACATGTTCTATGCCACCTTTGCTAACACCTTTCAAATTACAGCATCTTTTTTTGTTAATACTACTCTGGTGAAAAAGGCTGATGTTAAAAGGTGATTAAGGGGTTACCCTTGGTGACTGGAATTTTCTGCTGGTTACTTCCTCCTTTCTTAAATTTCAAGCCACTGCAGCAAGTAAAAGAACAAAAAAAAAAGGTCTCAAGAAGAGAGTAGATGAGGAGACAATGTTTTTTGTAACCGATAAGGCTGGAGATTAAGAAAACCAAAAACTGGCTTGAGGAGAAAAACAAAACTGCTAGAACATTATAGATGTGGTCATAAGAATCTATATACAAGTAACACAAAAATACTGTCTCCTTAAAAACGACAGAAAAGGTTCCGGTCCCTTTTGACCTAACCCCTGGCACTCCTCTCTTCCCTGGGAGTGACCACTGTTAAAATCTGGGGGGCAACATAGTTGACAACATTCCCCAGACACAAAATGAAGTGCATATGATCCCCATTTCACAAAAGGGGAAACAGAACTGTTAAGCAACTTGCCTAAGATCACAAGGCAAGTTTGTGGCCAGTTCGAATTCTCAATTGATTCAGATTAAACATTTTGTTGGACGGGGTAGGGGGGCGGGGGGTCGTGATGATAATCAATTTGCAAGTCACCCTTTACACACGAATTTGTTTTTGCCAAAAAGGATCTCTGGTGAGGGGAGACATACTCTTGTCTGTTGATCAAACAGAGGGAAAAAGGCCTTCTCTCAATGGAACGTCCCATCCGTGGCGGGACTTTTTACGGTCTTTTCGCTGCATATTTCAGCTCAAAGTATAAAAACCTCATAATCCCATTTAGCAGCCGAGGACAGCAGGAAAAGGGAGTGGCTTGAAGACCACGGAAACCTCATTGATCAGCAGTTTCTCTAAATAACACATTTTGCACAACTGCTTCTACCACACAGAGCCAAAAAAGGGCAGAAAAAGCACTTTCAATTAACAAACAAAACAACAAAAAACCCAGAGAGGTTCAAAAGCACAGGGGAAAAGAGATTCGCTTTAAAACGCACAAACAGGTTCTCATCCCTGGAGAGAGAAGGAGGCACCGGTCACTGATACGTACACCTTTTGCCCGAACCTACCGGTACTCAGGCCCAGCAGCAGCAGGAGTAGCAGCGGCAGGACACAGATCCGCGGGGCCAGCTCCATGACGAATACCGCGCGGCAGCATCAGCAACAGACTGAACCCGGTGCCCCGTCACGTGACGGAGGCCGGCGGAGCCAGGACTGGACCGGGGGAGGGGCGGGGCCTGGACGGTCTGGGGGCGGGGCCTGAGCCGGGAGGTGGCTGGCCGTGTCCCGAGCGCCCTCTGCCGAGCAGGTCAACAAAGACCCCTGCGACGGCTCTGCGAGGGTGTTCTGTCCGCCCACCACGTCGTTCTTCGCGGTTTGGGGGGCGGAGCAGAGAGGAAGAGACATTTGCCTTCAGCTGTGCGGTGGGACTGAGACGCGACAGAACAATAATCCGTTCTTCCCGCCGTGTCCGTCTCTTCCTTCCCCACCCAAAGGCCTGGCGTTTCAAAAACCGCTGCGTCCGCCCCAAATCAGATGAAGCCTGGACCAGGGGGTCCTTGAAAACTGTGGGATTCCATTTTCAGAGATTTTTTAAAATTAATTTTCTTATAAAGTTACGTATATTATGGGCATTTTGGAAAGTTGAGAAAAAAATGTTAGATCCTACTTAACCATCGTTGACATTTGGAATATTTTTTCTCGTCTTTTCCTTCATTTTTAAAAATACTATAATATCCCTGGCCGGTTTGGCTCAGCGGTTAAAGCATCGGCCTGCAGTCCAGAGAGTCCCAGGTTCGGTTCCGCTAAGGGCACGTACCTCGGTTGCAGTTTGTCCCCGGCTCTGGTTGGTCGTGTGGGTGGCAACCACTCAATGTGTCCCTTTCACTTCCATGTTTCTCTCTCTTTCTCCCTCCCACTCTGTCTGAACAAAATATCAAAAAAATGTCCTCAGGTGAGGATAAAAAATAAAATAATAAAATACTATAATACAGTTTTTTATTTTTTTCTCTTAATACTTTGCCATCAGTATTATTTTGTGCTGTTAACATTATCTTCACATTTATTTTATTTTTAGGTCAAGTAAGATTTTAATACAGTATATTTAGCTCAGAAATAAACCAATGTTTTCCATAGTGAAATATGCAACATTTACCTTACAGAATACTGTAAACGTCAGTTCAAAGGCTGCTAACCCGGAAGCACTGTTGACCTTGCTTTGAGTAAAGGTGCACCAGTAAAACTGCTTAAATTAAATATCAAAACAAACAAAACACAACTTGATCTGTTTGGGTTGAGAACAATAGGAGTCAAAAAATATCTCGGCATCTTGGAGCTTCGCACCGAAGGAAGGGCTGGGATGCTGTTCTTCACATACTTCTTCATCCAAGCTGCTTCCATTCCAAGAACTAAGAAAACACTGCATTCCATATGGCATCCTTTTTCAGAGTTCTGTAAAACTTAGGCTTGACATCACAGCAGAAGGGTGAATGCTATAGGGCAGCTAAAATCTATAAAAAGGAAACCACCACTACACAAAACATCTGTCCAATGCCCAAGGCGAGGGCTTCAAACGGTATCATTTCCTTTCCCACTGCTTGATCCGCTCCAGCAATTGCTGCACTTGTCAAGATTCCAGCAGTAATTGGTCCCACGGTGCCCATCAACAGGATGCTTACAGACAGGAACCTACAATATTTGTGATGTTGGGGGGTGAAGAGGGCCAGTAATCTAGCAGAGACATGGAAGAACAGAGAGGACACCCGTGCCCTTGGGAACACACCATAGCACATCTCTGGAAAGGAGCAGAAAGAAATGGAGTTGGGGCACAATATTCCTTTGCCCCCGGAACATGAACTTCAGGCTGAGGATCTTCTCTGGGAGCGGGGCTGACTCCCGCTGCTGCTCTTTCCCTTGTGTTCTGCTCTCCTTCACAACAGTCATTTTTAAGAGGGTATTGGGGGTTTTGGAAGGGGAAGAGACAAGAAGGGTGACAGAGATGTGTGTGTGTGTGTGTGTGTGTGTGTGTGTGTGTGTAAAGAGTTTATCTTAGGGTGCACCGAATAACTCATCTCACTGAGCTAGGAAACAAGAATATGTAGGGGCTGTATGATGGTCAGGTTATACTTCTAAATACTGTTTCAAAAGTGCATGATGAGACTGGCTGGGTGGATCAGTGGTTGAGCACCGACCCATGCACCAAGAGGTTGCTGGTTTGATTCCTGGTCAGGGCTCATGCCCAGGTTGTGGGCCAAATCCCCAGTGGGGGACATGCAGGAGGCGGCCAATCAGTGTTCTCTCATTGATGTTTCTATCTCTCTCTCCCATTCCCTTCCTTTCTCTCTAAAATCAAGAAAGAAGAAGAAAAAAAGCACATAACAGAAAAAACAAAGTACATGTGATAGGCCTCTTCTTGTTCCCCTCTCTATCCTTTCTCTCCTCCTGCCCCTCATAAATGGACAGATGTTTGTGAAATGGCTTAATCCTGCTGGTGAAGGGAGAGGGCACTGAGATTTGGGCGAGAGAAAAGAAATAGGTAACCAACTTAATGTGGGTGGTCCTGAATGTATAAAATCCCACAGTGTACATAAAATGCATGCTATTCCATCTATTTTCTAAGCCAATATCATTTCCAGGATAGAAGTTTTTGACCATATAAGCAAAGGCTAACCAAGTTAGGGAACCCCCAAAATGTTCTTGTGACATTGGAATCATCAAACAACAGATCACTTATGGTGGCTGTAAGTGATGACAAGTGTGGTGTGTGAGAAGCTGTAAGTGCCCTATAATCAGCATTATACTCTAGCCTTCAACACTAGGTAGTTTTTCATTAGGGCAAAGATTAAATTTTCCGTTTTTATTACAGCTTATATTCACGGGAACTAAATGGAACACACCAAAGAAATCAGGTGAAAGCTGATTATTCTAACAGCAAAGTTCCTCTTGAAGACTGGAATGGTCTTTAAGAAAAATACCTTATTGGAGGTTAGGGGATGGGAGCTGAGAATACAGAGCATCAGCAAAGGTAGCAAAATTGCTAAGTTGTGCTGCACAGGACCAGGGGAATTTGTTTTGCTCCTAGGAGAGGAAAGAATAGAGATAGGTGAAAAGAAGGGGCACTCTGTACAAAGACCAGCCAAAGAGTGTCAAGGCTGAAGAGCCAGTGGAAATTTTTCTGATAAGGAAGTGGCTACAGAACATTAAAAGGTGATGCTTGTGGCCCTGGCCGGTTTGGCTCAGCGGTTAGAGCATGGGCCTGCGGTCCAGAGAGACCTGGGTCCGGTTCCCGCTAAGGGCAGGTACCTACCTCGCTTGCGGTTTGTCCCCGGCCCTGGTTGGGTCGTGCGGGTGGCAACCACTCGATGTGTCCCTTTCACGTCAATGTTTCTCTCTCTCTCCCCCCCTCCCACTCTATCTGAACAAAAAATGGAAAAATGTCCTCGGGTGAGGATAGAAAAAAAAAAAAGGTGATGCTTGTGGTTCTATTTGAACTTGCTTCTATTTTTGTGATGTAAACCTGTCCTCTGGGGGGAAGGTCAAAAACGTAATAGGAAGAAAGATATTGGAAACTCATCTCAAAACTGTACTTGCAAAATTCTTGGTATTTTATTTTATTTTTTAATTGATTTTTTAGAGAGGAAGGGAGAGATAGAAACATCCATTGGCTGCCTCCTGCACGCCCCCTACTGGTGATCAAGCCTGCAACCCAGGCATGTGCCCTGACCAGGACCTCTCAGTCCATGGGACTGATGCTCAATCCACTGGGCAAAAAAACACCAGTTGGGCAAAAATTATTTATACTTTTATTTATTTTTTATCCTCACCCGAGGACATTTTTTTGTTTTTTTGGGGGGTGGGGGGTTTGTTCAAATAGAGTGGGAGGAAGAGAAAGGGAGAGAGAGAGAAACTCGATGTGAAAGGGACACATCGAGTGGTTGCACACGCACGACCAACCAGGGCTGGGGACAAACTGCAACCGAGGTATGTGCCCTTAGTGGGAACCGAACCCAGGTCTCTCTGGACCGCAGGCCGACGCTCTAACCGCTGAGCCAAACCGGCCAGGGCTATAGTTTTAACAATTATGTATTTATTGTGGGAAAGGTTTGAGAGACTGATTAAGATTGTTTGGGGGCGTGTTAAAGACCCTTTCAGTGAATTCTGCTTGCAAATGGTTGGCGTTACACAGCTGTCTTCTCCGTGTGTCTTCACATCATTTTCTCTGTGTGTTTCTGTGCACTCACGTGTGCTGCTTCTACCTTTATGGAATGCTCTCACACCTTTCCCCCCCCTTGCACCTGGCAAGCTACTGTCGAGCCTGTCAGGTTACACGGCTCTTCCCAGGGAAGTCTTTCCCAACACTGCACACCTGACTGCAAGGTCCAGTGACCTTGGGGATGTTACGTAATCTTTCTGAACTTTTAATCTTCAAAATGGGATAATAATGGCTCATAATTCATATCTCTGTCATGAAAACTAAAGGAGTTAATACGTGGGAGAATGGAATGGAATTTCGAAAGATGTAAAATTTCTGATTTAGAAATTAATAAGAGGGCTTATTTTTATATTTTAATGTGGATGGTGGTAGGTATTAAACTGCTAAGGCACGTTTAAGAGTGATTAATTTTTAAACGATATATTTACAATCTATTAGCAATGACTTCTTTTACAACTCTTTAATGATGAAATTTGTCAACTAAATGTATTGGGGGTTTTAAAACATTTATTTTGCATATACAAGCTAATATCTTAGAAGACAACTGCTGAGAATTGTTTTATCAGAGAGTTTATACAGAGGGTTGCCTAAATTCGCACCCTACATAGTGCTCGGTAGGAAAGGAATAAAGGGATTTTATTTATACGTCGTCTTCCGTGGCCCCATCGTGAACAGAATTGAATTGAATCAACCCCGCTCCGCGCTGCCCTTCACGAAGCCTGTAGTAGCCACTTGCCAACGATAGGCGGCGCACGTGAACAGGCTCCAGGGGGCGGGCCGCCCGAGCACGCCTCTCGGTAACGCTGTGGTGCGTCTCGGCTTCCGTAGAGCATTGAGCAAGATGGCAGCCTCCGAGACTGTTAGGCTACGGCTTCAATTTGATTACCCGCCGCCAGCCACCCCGCACTGCATGGACTTCTGGCTTCTTGTCGACTTGAACAGATGCCGGGTAGTCACGGATCTCATTAGTCTCATCCGCGAGCGCTTCGGCTTCAGTTCCGGGGCCCCCCTCGCCCTCTACTTGGAGGGGGCGCTTTTGCCCCACGGCGAGAGCGGGCGCCTGGTACGAGACAACGATTGCCTCAGGTGCGCGCCGAGCGGGCGTGGGGTGCGGCGGGGTGGCCGGCCGGCCGGGGACGCGCCTGCGCGTGTCCAGGGGCGCCTCAGGCCTCTGGAGACCGCGAGAGGGTGGAGAGTGGGGTGGGGGATGGGGATGGGGATGAGGTGGGACTCAAACCGCACCTTCGTGTCCCGCAGAGATTCTGATTAATGAGTTATGAGGTTCAGGAATCTGCATTGTCTCGGGCATCCTTCCCCGGGGGCTTCTGATGTAGGCGGTCAGTGGAGCAAACTTGGAAGAACCTTGATTTCGTGTGTGGGCAGGGCCCGAGTCTTAGCCCGGATCCCGCTAGCGCTCATTGAACCTGGCGCTGTGTTACGTGCGCGTGATGCAGGCCTGCCTGAGACCGGCCCTCCTCGGGCAGCTCGCAGGGGCAGGTGCCAGAGGCCCCAGCAGAGGACCAGGACTCTCTTCCTCACGTGCGGCTTGTCCATCGCCCCTGCGTTGTCCCCTGAGACTTCTGATGGGCTTCATTCCCAGCCTCACCAGGGCGTTCTGTGGTTCACCCGAAGAGGTGTTTGGGGCCTTCTGGGTTGTGAATTGGGAAACAAAATTGCCTTTGGAAATTAAAAAAAGAAAAAAGGTACTAAGATGAATATAGAGGAGTAATTGTGGTACGAACTGCCCTCGTGTGGTGGATTTGTTTCAATAAAATGGTAAGACATCGTCGTTTCAGTTCGGAGTGGATCTTGGACTAATTTATTCAGGGCTTCTTTTTAAAGCTCCAGCTGCAGTGAAACTATTCTGTGCTTGTGAAGCAGGCTGTTTCCTCTTGCTTGCCCTTTGTTGAGTATTCCTTGCCCCGGAGCATGTCAGATTCATAAGATTTGTTCAGAATATCAGGGAGTTTAATTTGGGACAGTTATCCCATCTTTGAGTGTGTGTGTGTGTGTCTTAAAATCAGGAACACTGTGATTTATTAATGTCTAACTGTTTCTTTTATTTTTTATTTATTTTCTTGATGTTAGAGAGGGGAAGGGAGAGGGAGAGAGAGAGAAACATCGATGAGAAAGAACATCAATTGGCTGCCTCCTGCATGCCCTCCACTGGGGATCTGGCCCACAACCTGGGTATGTGCCCTGACTGGGGCAACCTCCTGGTGCATGGGTCGATGCTCAACCAGTGAGCCATACCAGCAGGGTTGTCTAGCTGTTTTTTTTCTTAATCCTTGCCCGAGGATATTTTTCCATTTTTGTTCAGATAGAGTGGGAGGAAGAGAGGGGGAGAGAGAACCATCGATGTGAAAGGGACACATCAACTGGTCACCTCCTGCATGACCCCAACCAGGGCCAGGGATGAACCGCAACCGAGGTACGTGCCCTTGACTGAAATCAAACCCGCAACTCATTGGTCTTTGAGCCTATGCTCTAACCACTGAGCCAAACCAGCCAGGGCTGTCTAGCTGTTTCTAATGACACTTTGAAATAGACCAACTTTCAAACAGTTATTTTTCCTTTTTATTCACTGTGGAATAGATGTCCATTTTCTTTGCAATTTAAATAGTAATAGAACTGTGAGGACTGCATCCTCTTCTATTAAGTTTACTTTCGGAACTATCCCCTGCTTAATGAATAAATAAGTTGCACCTAGCTAACCAAAGTTATGCATACGTCAATTAATGAATCGTCTGAGAATTATACTTTTTTTTTTTTTTTTAATCCTCACCCGAGGATATTTTTCCATTTTTTGTACAGATAGAGTGGGAGGGAGAGAGAGGAAGGGAGAGAGAGAGAGAAACATCGACGTGAAGGGACACATCGAGTGGCTGCCACCCGCACGACCAACCAGGGCCGGGGACAAACTGCAACCGAAGTACGTGCCCTTAGCGGGAACCGAACCCGGGTCTCTCCGGACCGCAGGCCGACGCTCTAACCGCTGAGCCAAACTGGCCAGGGCAAGAGAATTATACTTTTTATAAAGATGTTAAACAATGTCAAAAGCAAACTGCGAAAGCTGTGATAAGAAATAAATACAGCACAGTGGCAGGTAGAATTCCTCCTAAGTGCTTCAAATGCCCAAGCTCATATAGTAAATACATCTGCAGCTGGCTACAGTGGTAAATGGGGCAGACCATAGGAAAAAATAGAATTTGGAAATGTTTTGTTATGTTTTTTGGTTTCATGTCCCCAATTATTCTCTGTCTTCCCTGACACTCACTTTTCTTCAGAGCTGCAGAAGAAATAGTCTCATATTCTTTTTTTTTTTATCCTCACCCGAGGACATTTTTCCATTTTTTGCACAGATAGAGTGGGAGGGAGAAAGAGGAAGAGAGAGAGAGAGAGAAACATCGATGCGAAAGGGACACATTGAGTGGCCGCCACCCGCACGACCAACCAGGGCCGGGGACAAACTGCAGCCGAAGTACATGCCCTTAGCGGGAACCGAACCCGGGTCTCTCTGGACCGCAGGCGGACGCTCTAACCGCTGAGCCAAACCAGCCAGGGCAGAAATAGTCTAATTTTCAAAGGTACCTAATATTGTTGGAGAAGACTAAAATAACTAGTGTTGTGTTTCTGTGTATTATCTTCTTGTGTGATGCAGACAGTCAGATTGGATAATTATACTAGGTTATGCTGCTAAGTGCAGAACATGGTTCAGGAAGAAGAGATCATTGGGGAACACAAATGGTCAGGGAGGGAATTTAGAAGTATCTTGAAGGATGGGTAGGAAATGTTGGATGGCGTAGTACAGTTGCGGAGGCACAAGGCTGCCTGACTCGGTAAAGAGATGAGTCTGATCAGCCGTGGGATTCTGTTGGGGTTGCTGGGAGCACTGAAAGCAGTCTCATGAGGGAAGGCGGAGCCAGGTTGTGGGAATCCTGAGATACAACCGTAGAGGCTTGAGAGGCATTTTCATACTTACATGCCTTGGCCCTTCCTCACAGCCCATTCTCTTAAGCCCAGGGAACCTGACTTCCTCTCCTCCCAGGCTGCTGGCAGTGAGCTCCTGAAGGTGGTCTCCAACTCTCCTGCAAGGAGGACGTACTCCCACTCACTGAGAGCCCCATATTAGTCTGCTGGGGCTGCTGTAACAAAGTACCACAGACAGGGTCGCTTAAACAACAGAAATACAGTTCTGGAGGCTAGATGTCCGAGATGGAAGTATTGGCAAGTTTTTTTAATGAGGCGTTGCTCCTTGGTTTGTAGATGCCTCCCTTTTCCTTGTGTCCTTACATGACCTTCTCTGTGTACAGGCATATCTCTTTCTCTCTCTTTTTAAAATCAATTTTTAGAGAGAGAGAAAGAGAAATATTGACTTATTGTTCCACTTATTGATATATTCATTGGTTACTTCTTGTATGTGCCCTGGCTGGAGATCAAACCGCAACCTTGGCATATTGGAAGGACGCTCTAACCAACAGAGGTACCTGGCCAAGACCTACACATCATTCTTTTTTTTTAAACATTTTTTTTTTCTTTATTGATTTTAGATACAGAGGAAGGGAGAGGGAGAGAGAGAGAAACATCAATGAGAAAGAACATCAATTGGTCGCTTCCTGCATGCCCCCCACTGGGGATTTGGCCCACAACCTGGGCATATGCCCTGACTGGGAATCGACCTGGTGACCTCTTGTTGCATGGGTCGATGCTCAGTCACTGAGCCACACTGGCCGAGTTTTCACATCATTCTTTTAAAATGCGATCTACACCAAGAGGTCGCCGGTTCTATCCCTGATTCCTGGTCAGGACACATGCCCAGGTTGTGAGCCAAATCCCCAGTGGGGGGCATGCAGGAGGCGGCCAATCGATGTTCTCTCTCATCGATGTTTCTATCTCTGTCTTCCTCTCACTTCCTCTCTCTCTCAAATCAATAAAGGAAAACAAAATTTTTAAAAATGCTATCTAGTGTTCCTTTGTATACATATCAGTTTACTAAACCCACCCCTTATTAATGGACATTTTAGGTTGTTATCTTAGTTTGGGCTGCTATAACAAAAATACCATTAACTTGGGTAGCTTATAAACAGAAATTTATTTCTTACAGTTCTAGAGGCCGGAAGTCCGAGATCAAGGTGCCAGCAGATTTGATGTCTGGTGAGGGCTTGCATTCTGGTTCATATATGACACTTTCACAGTGTCCTCGTTTGGTGGAAGTGGACAGGGGGGCCCTGTGGGGTACATTGATCTTATTCATGAGGGCTCCACCCTCATGACCTAAGCATCTTCCAGAGGCCCCACCTCCTAATGCCATCATATCAGGGGTTAGGATTTCAACATAGGAGTTTTTGGGGACACAGATGTTCAGCCATGGTAGTTTTCTGTTTTCCACTGTTACATACTGCTGTGGTGAATACTCTTGTGTATCTTTGTGTCCTTGGGCAATAAGTCAGTAGGATACATTCCTGGAAGAGGTACTCTTGGGTCAAATTGGCCTGTAGAAAAGTTGTACAGGTCAGTGTTTATGTCAACAATACTTGAGTTACTTTTGTTCAGTATTATGAGAAAGGTAAGAGAGCAGAGTGATTAAGAGCTCAGAGTCTAGAATCAGAACCCTGCATTTTATTTTTATTTATTTATTTATATATTTTTTTATCCTCACCCGAGGATATTTTCCATTTTTTGTACAGATAGAGTGGGAGGGAGAGAGAAAGGAAGGGAGAGAGAGAAACATCGACATGAAGGGACACATCGAGTGGCTGCCACCCGCACGACCAACCAGGGCCGGGGACAAACTGCAACCGAAATACGCGCCCTTAGCGGGAACCGAACCCGGGTCTCTCCGGACCGCAGGCCGACGCTCTAACCGCTGAGCCAAACTGGCCAGGGCAGAACCCTGCATTTTAATCTTAGCTCTACAACTCATTACCTATGTGCTGTTGGCCAAATGTCAAATAACTTGACCTCTCTGGCAGTGACCATGCAGGCCGGTGCAAGCAGCAGCCAGATAGGAAGGAGGCTTCAGGGAACAGATGGGACCCAGAGAGGGTGCAGGTCTATTCTTTCACCCTCCTTGTTGAATTTCACCT